TTTTTAGAGCCCCAGTCAGCCTTAGTTGTCTCCACTTCTCTGGGGCGAGCCTGATCCATCGTGGGCACAGAGGCTTAGATGTGTTCTGACATGCATCGTCAGGAGCATTTCCTCATGAGACTCCCACAACTAGTATAGGACATGTATTGTTATCCCCATTCCATAGATGGGAAAACTGAAGCTCACAGTGTGGTGAAACTCTAGGCAGAGCAAAGTCTGCCAGACTCTGAGTGTAACTTTCTCGCTAGCCAAACAACTGGAAGTGAGAAGCGACCTATTGTTCCTGATCCCCTCTTCCACCCAGAGAGGAAGAAGCCGAACACATAGGCCTGGGAGCTCTGGCTTCACCCTCTGCCCAGCCACGTAGGAACGAACCTGCGTTTTACGTGGTTTACATTCATTCTCAACCTGTTTCGTCAGCTGAAAGGAGGGAAAATATCGTCCTCCTTACAGGGTTGTTGGGAACAACATGACACTTTTAGTGCCTGGCAGTGCCTGGTTGTGGGCGTTTGCTAACAGCTAGGAAATATAGTCCTCCTTACAGGGTCGCTGGGAACAACACAAAGACACTTTTAGTGCAGGGCAGTGCCTGGTTGTGGGCGTTTGCTAACAGCTACCACTCTTCCTGGTTGTGACTACTGGTGGCAAACTGGTCCTGACCTCGTCCTTCTCTACCCTGCCACGCCCGGTGCTGCTCTTCCTTGTCCTTGCTATCGCTATTAGAAATCTGGAGCAGCAAAGGTGCCAGAGGGTGACCCAGACAGGCACCGTGTTTGCTTTTCCAGCCAACGCCTCATCCGCTGGCAGAGGCCTCCCCCCTAGGGGCATGAAGGGGCCTCAGCACAGAGAACTCACTTTCCAAAGAGTTCTTGGTCGTCTGGTCTTTGGCATCCTTGTTGCTTCTGGCTCTCAGGTTCTGCAATGAAAAAGAACATTTTCACATGGGACAACTGAAGCGACTTTGATGTGGCCGGAAGTTCCATGGTCAGGAACCGTCAGCAGAAATCTCACCCTTCTCTCATAGCCAAGAACCCCAGATGCAGCAAGCATTGGTGGTGGGGGGGGGTGTCCTGGGCCACACCATGAAAAACAGGGTGAGCTGTGGTCCACCTGGGACAGTTTCTCAATGTTGGCACTGATGGGACTGCGGCCAGAAATTCTCATACTCTGAGGGCCTGTCTTGTGCACCATGGGATGTTAAGCAGCATCCTGGCCTCTACCTATGGGGGCAATAGCACCCCCCTCCTCCTGCTGCGACAATCAAAAATGTTCCCAGGCACTGCTAAGTGTCTCTTGGGGACAACATCTCCCCTGGTTGAGAACCTATGACATAGAGAGCCCTCTCCCAACTTAGCAAACGTACTTGCTAACAAATGAGGTGCTGAGATTTCTGGGAGGAGAGCAGCGGTTTTTAGTGGGTGGGTCAGACTTGCCACAATGCGTCGAAGATATCACTGATTTGATTAGGTACCCAGAGAAATGAGGATAGAAGATCCCCGTGTACCTGAAATTGTCTCTGGAAAGCAACTGTGGTCAAACCCAGTGCTAGGCTTCTGAACAAAAAACACCGCACAGCAAAAGGAGGGGGCTCAGAGATTACTTTCCAAACTTCTCGCCCAGAACCTCTCAAGACTAAAAATGACGGTGTTTTTTAGCTCACTGGGGCCAAACCCACAGCGCACTTTGGTACCTTTCCTGAGAGTTTAACGCCCCTCACGGTGATTATTCCTCCATACGTGTGCCTCCGCGGCTGCCAAGGGTGTGAGGGGGCGCGAGAGCAAAACCCGAGACTGCAAACACAGGTGCCGCGCTCACGTGAGCCCGGGAAGCAGCCCACACGCTGCGCGCCCCTGGACAGCGCGATGCACGTGAGTACCGCAGGGTCCTTACAAATCTGGTTCAACCCCACCTTTCCCAAACTTAACTTGACTTTAGCTGGCCTTTCCACGTCGCCCGTAGCATCTACCGTCTGGGAGGCTAGCGTTCCACAGAACACAGCTCAGGTCTAAGTGGACACTGCCACACACTCACTTCTCAGGACTGGCCCGGGGGGCAGATGAAGGACCACTGCTCCACCCATCCCTGTCCTTGGAGGCTATCATCCAGTCCCCACCCCTTGACACCACCCCCTCTGAATGTACCCCCCCCAAACCTCTCCTTGGCCAACTGCTTCCACTTCCTTTGGGTTTATTTTGCTCATTGGGTGGCTCCAATTTCTCTGGGGCTTTTTTGAAACATGGGTGGAGAACTAAAGTGGATGCTGCCCCGTAGCATAAGCTTCACAGAAGGCTGGCTGTTGGCTGGACCCGAGATGCTATCCTACTGCCTGCACCTTAGCCTCGTGCATGGTCAGTGGTCAGTGGTCAGTGAAACCATGTGACCCCCAGGGGGGGTTGTCTCAATGTTGCTTCCTCCCTCCTCTGTAGCAACCTGTCTGGGTGGACTTCAACTTGGCCCCATTTAAAAGGCAGCCTGCCCTGAGAGAATTATGTTTCTAATTTGTCAAGGTTACTTGAGATTCTGCGCCAACATTCCAGATGTTAGGGGTGTGGGGGTAGCTAACTGAATGAGCTAAGGAAAGAAATGGACTGAATGCACCAGGCAAACCAAGACAACTAGGGAGGGACATCTGGAGCCAGCCTGCAGCCATGGGTGCATGTAGCCTGTTACCAGCAGCACTAGGCGGGGAGTGGGGCACCCCATGGGCTATGGAGGAACAAGTGGCATGTGTTATCACCACAGGAAATGATAAGTGCCAGGACCTAAAATACCTCACCTCCCATGATAAATCATAAAAACGACACTAAGCCCCTGAGAAAAAACCAGGTGTGATAGTTGAGGTGTGATTATCTCCCAGCAAGAGCCTCGACTCATTCCCTATTTCTAGTTTCCAGTACTCTTTCTGAGGCTGCCTTTCTCACCCTGACGTCTTTCCACCTAGAATCCTTGTTTGGAGGGGGAAGGTAAGTTGGAGTTCTGAGGAGTCAGAGACATCAAAAGGCAAAGGTGACTACAAGCCCAGGAAGAGTAAAACGTCACCCAATTGCCATGGGAGCAGAAACAGGATGGGGAAAGGCAGAGAGAATGCTGTGGGCTCTGGTCTTGGCGTGGCCACAGGCCCCCTATGGCCTGCTCATCCTCTCTGTATCTGAGAGGCTCTTTCGAGGCCCCTATGCTAAATAACACTCCAGGGAGGTTTTGGTCCTCCTGCAGCCTGGAGCTTTCCTCCCACATAGGTCTACAGAGTGCAGCAACACCAGCCCCATTCCCCTGTGCGAAAGGCTCAGCTTCCTCAGCTTTCAAGGTTGCTGGCAAGCTAGAGGAGGAACAGAGCATGACACTTCCCCTCCTGCTCTCCAGTGACAAGGCACAAAGTTGGCCTCAGCACTCTTGTGTTCAGACCTCTGTTAACTGGGCAGAACTGAGGATATCCCTCACTGCACACAGATGGTGCAAGGGAGCATCTATGTGGGGGACCCAGCTAAGCCCCGCATCAGGCCTTGGCCCTGGGGAGGCAGGTCTCCTTGGCTGCTCCTTGTCTGTTCACAAGATTGTCTCTGCACAGGGCTGATGGTGCCAACCCAGAGGCATCTGGAAACAGGGCTGAGGCTTACGATCGAACTGCAGTTTGCTGCATCTTATTCTCCTGGGTCAGGCGTACCAACAACCAGCCCACGGCCTGCCTGCAGGAGATGGAAGGTGCACCTTGCTGAGTGGTATCATGCATACCTCAGAGATTTCTGCAAATTGAGCATTGGCCTGACAGCACTTCTCTGCTGTTTCCATGGCAACTCCGTAGTTGTCCACAAAGGCCCGGTAAACACCCAGCTGGCTGGCCTGCAAGGAGAAAGGATGAGAGTGTGGAACAGGTGTGAGACAGATGCAGGATAGGTGCTGCTGCTCCCCATCTTTCTGAGAAGCAGGCTTCTGTGCACAGCGCTGCAGAAACTCCAGGTGCAGCAGACAGTGCAGAGCCACAGACACCTCAGCTCTGCTGTGCTGATGCCTCCCACCTTCCTCCCCTCCCCACGCACTGAGCACACAGCGACATGATGAGAAGTGACTCACAATCCCAGGCAGGTAATGGTTCCTTTCCACAGCTGCCTATTCCTC